GTGTTGTGTTGTTTTTGTTTCTGGTTGATTGGTGTTGTAGTTAGGGATGTGATGACATGTCTGTGACATGTCACTCCCCAGAGTCAAAGTTCAGTTTGAACTGAGATGATGGGGAGGCATGGCATTCTGATCTGATCCAAGATAGACCCATCAAATTTTATTGATCTTTTCATTCTTGATACTTCTGATCCTCCTACATATCCTCAAGTTCACTCAAACTCAACAACCGCCACAGAAATCGATTTCTGTTGTCTCCTCTCAGAAAACCAACCAACCCCAACGCATTTTGTTCAGATCACAGCTCAATTTATCCGGACCCCACTTGAAGGCAGCCCTCAAAGCACCATCCCTTCAACCAACTGCCTACCGCCTGGCACGATAGGAGTTCCACAGCGTGCAGGCCTGCACGCCAACTGCACGCCAATCTCCCCTGCAGCAGATTGGCGTGCAAGGCCGCACGCCAAAATTCTTTGGCATGTGGGGCCCGCCAATCTGCGCCTGGCGTGCGCCATGGGGGTTGGAGTGCGCTTATCAACCCCCCGGCAATAGAGTATTCAAGCATTCTTCAGGTAGGCTATTCCAGCCATCAGGGTCGGGAATATCAATTTAGCTCGACACAAATCCGTCTCCCGGCAAAGTGGCTGTTATCTCATCATTCAGGATTTGAACATCTTTTATCAAAGGTGCCAAAATGCAACGATCATGCAAGTATTCCGCATTTTCCATGAAATGTTGTCCTGCATAGGTTGAAAGGTCTCAGTAGACAAAATCAATCAGGGCCTTTCGACTCTCATTCGGAGATGGGAAGCTCTTGATTTTGACATTCTTGGGCTTGATTATATCATTCTCCTGCGTATTGTGTCGTCCCTCCCCAATTGCCAACAATGACTTTGCAAAAGACTGATTCCTCTTTGCCTCGATTCCAGTCGCATGTTTTGCTTCAATTGCAGTTGTTTGACTTCCTTCCAGATGAATGACGATTTGAGTGTTGATTCGCATGATATTGGGAAATCTCCAAACTTCACTACTGGAAGAATCTGTCTGAAGTCACCCGCAAAGATTACGACTTTCCCTCCAAATGGGAGTGAACAGTTACACATCCGCCTCAACGTTCGGTCAACTGCTTCAATCAAATTCTTGTGAATCGTCACAACCTCGTCCCAGATTATCAGTTTGCAATCAATCAAAGCCTTGCTAGCCAAGGTGTTATCTTCAATGCCACACTCAACATTTGGTTCACAGTCAATTGGGATCTTGAAAGACAAGTGTGCCATCATACCGCCCTTCAAGAGAAGTGCTGCCACCCCGGACGAGGCCACTACCGTCCGAACTATCTCTTTAGAGTCTGTGAGGTCAATAATTGAGTTGAGGAGATACGTTTTTCCCGTACCACCAGGCCCATCAATATAAAAGAGTTGGCCCTTTCCAGCTAAAAGGCATCGCTTCACTCGTGTATAAATATTCAACTGATGGATGTTGAATTGTGACAGATTGGACTTCAACCGTTCCTTGATGAGCTCAAGTGATTTGGTGACTGGCCCCTCTCCCTGCATATTCAACAAGATCGACAACTCTTCAGGTGAAGTGATTAGCCCACACCTTTGAAGGTTGCTTCCCAGCTCATTTAACATTGACTGTATGCGCGCAAGCCCAAGTAACCTTCTTTCATCCAGTGAGAGGGACTGACTATCTCAAAACTTCATATCAACCCTTGTAATATCATCCGTCATATTTTCGAAGTGATTTTCAAACAGATCCATGGGTGCTGACGGGGGGGTATGGACGCAGATCATTGCAAAAAGCTGACATAATTGATAACCTGACCGCACAAAACTTGCTTCCTTCAAAGTCGAATCATACAGCGTATCGTCAACCAGAAGTCCGAGCCAGTTGCATGCCTCTTGATACAAGCATGCAACACGTCCATCCACTGTTCTGAGATCTTCATGAGAAACGATATTCTTCCGTGGAGGAGCAACATTCACATATAAAACTTCTCTCCTGCAAGAAATGAAATGCCGTAGATGTGACCGACAGCTTCAGACTTGGTTTTGTGCGGTTTCCACTTCTTCTCCGTTTTGCTTCACGCAAAATAGGCAGGAATATTCTTGTAGAACAATGTGCAAGCACTCCGGCCGTCCGCTCCACATCCATTTTCAGCATTCAGGCTGAAAAATCCAGTTAGCATTGTGCTCTCTGCACTTCCTGATTTGATTTGGCCAACAGCCGACTCCTCACTATCGAAGTAAACAAGCTGTTCATTTTCTTCATGAAGTGCCAACCTGGTAACAGCTGGATAGCGTTCGGCCAGCGGAAACTTCAATAGACGCCAAGCGGCTTCAGACACAGTTATCAGCTTATGTCACCCTCATTGAGAAAAGACCAAAGCTCACCTTCTGGGGGAGAAATGTATTGGGCATTGACAAAGGCTTTTGTTTCATCATCCTCTTGAATCTTGAGGTAAGATCTATTGTGTCCCTTAGTTATGTACTTGTAAAGGTACTTTATCGCAGAGGAACTGACCGGTACCTCCACGTTTATGTGACACTCAAACATGAGTGAGAGGTATTTGTTGAACGGAACCACGGAGCCATTATCAAATTGTGAAGTGAACTTTTGAATTGTATTCCCATCTTCTCGACGCCTGTAGATGGGGTAGGTGCCGTCGACTGTAACTGTTCTCGGCGTTAGGGGCTTGGGAAAACCCAGCCAGCAGCCTTTTTCCGTCCAACAAGCTCGACCATTGCAAGGACCATGGAGCATGAAATCTGAAATTAATGCGTGGAGTTTAGGTTCATCATCCTGACTGGGAATTTCAGCATTGACCAGCAAGTCTATCTTCTCTGGTGTGGTGGGCCTGTCCTTTTTGTCAAGCGTCAACATGAGGTGAATGTGCGGAAGACCCCTCTTCTGGAACTCTTTTGTTGAGACATAGGCAATAACTTTACCCAGTCGGTTAAGCTTTACAAGTTGATGTAGTTCTTTTGACTTCAGGCGAAATACTTGAGCAACAATTGTTGGGTGATCATAGGCCTTCTGGCCTGGCTTGAGAAGGGCTTCAATTTCTTTCCACTGTGGATTTGCTGTCATCGTTATGAACAGGGAAGGTGGCCCATACTTTCGACAGATAGCCATTGAATCCTGGTAAAGTTGTCGCATGTACCGCGGGCTACCAATGAACGAAAATGGTAAGATGATTCGACGACCGGAACTGGGCTTGACTCCATCAATCAACGATACCAACCTATTGTATTGGGCCGCTTTCAACTTTCCCTGGTTGAAAGTAATAAATCGCAGGCGGGACCTTTCGACAACAACGTACATGTCTACCAAAAATTCCTGGAATAAGGACCTGCCAGCTAGAATCAGCGAGAAATCGTCCAGGCGCTCAAATAAGAGGAATGCAAACCACTCCAATGAGCCTACTTTTCTCCCGTTAACTGGGAACAGTTTTGTTAGTCACTGATGTGCACCTGATCACTTGAACTGGAAGCACTCACCACGTCCGGTCCACACCTGATACAAGTTGTCCCATTGCTGAGAGCCGTAAGGGAAGAATAACGGATACCTTAATGGAAAGTAAGACGAGTGGACGTCGGAAATGATGTTGAGTCTGCCGTCATTCCGGTGAAGAACAATTTTTCGTTCGCCTATTGTTTCACCATCACCATGAATTACCACTGCAATCTCATCAACAGTTGGCTGATTGTAGCGTTTCGGATCGCCTGCTGGATGTTGAACTCCTTGAAGAGCTAGTGTCTTTGCCTTCAATTGCTGAAGGACTTATCTTGCACACCTGTAGAGGACCGCGTAATGATTGTAACTGTCTAAGAAATCGACCAGCTTTTTGATGGTCTTCACAGACAGCCCACCCGCTCTTCCTCTTGCCCCACCTTTTCCTTGGGCTTTATTCATACACAACTCTGCTTCTTCAGTTCCCCCTTCACCTATGACAAAGATTTGGGCATATGCTGGCTTGCTTCCTTTGACTGGCTCAATACTTGAAATCCGGTGCGTCAGGCCCCCATTGATTCGGAAGACGTAGATGCCTTTTTGGCCTTGAACTGTAGAATCAAGTTTTGCGCCAAGCGATGTGAAGCTAACCGAGTTGTTATACATCCTAATCAATTCTAAGAGATTGGTGGATTCTGGATAAATATATAATTAGTGTTATCAAAACTACTGTCTCATCAAGAGACCATGATTGTGAGCTGACCTTTTGTCTGACCCATGAAGAGGGATTGGAGCGAAAGAGGATAACCTGGGTAAGTTTCATCTACAACAGGAAGTGTTACCTTATCCTTCTGACAACAACTGGAGAAGCTGATGTTGACGAGTTTTTGGTCAACAATTGCTGACTCCTCTAGCCAGTGCAATGCACCACATGAACGGCACTCAACGTTGCAATCACCAAGCCTGTGTGGGACCGTCCAAATGAAAGCCCCGATAATCTTCTTTTCTGTGTTGTCGGCGGCAGACGTGACTGCTATCGCTTTGATATCCAACATGACGTTTAATATGTATTGATGTCTATCTGACAGATGCTAAAAATGAAAATCAAAGATTGATTAATGTTAGAGCCAAAAATAAATTAGGATTTGATATGCGGTTATTCCTGGCCAGCCAAGATTGAAAATAATTGATGTTGTTGTGGTGTGCTAATGCCAGATTAGTTGAGATTGATACTTGAGCCAAGACAGGATTATCAACTTTGCCAATACATTTATACTTCTTTTGAATCAACTTACAATTACCACTGCAAGTTGAACCTACCTCAATCAACCTTGAGTTTGGCTTGATATCACACTCCACGCTTAGTGCTAATCAAGCTGACCGGACTGGTCAATCAGAATGAAGCCGGACTTGATTGATGCGGTCAAGTGGTGTGGTCTTGACAATTTCATTGGACATCAACTACAAGGCTCAGTAACAACAATGCAATTTCATATTGAGTGTTGGGACCAGGGACAGATACTACAAGCTTAATATTCAACACATGCCTAATCTAGCTTCAAGCACTTGAACCAGTTCATACAGGTCTCATTCAACCTGACTGAAGTGGATGCCATGTGTCGCCTGAGTAAAAATTTGCGTCAGTCCACAACCGACCAGCTAGTCAAAATACCAACTCAACACAATCACTAACCCGTCCGAGCCCTGCCCAGCCAATTCTAGCCGTCCCACTACCCATAATTTGTTGCCCACCCCAAAATCCACCCAGTGAGGCATAAGAATTGTGTTTTCCGAAAAGACATATGTTACTGTGATCTTATCTACGGTATTGTTCTACACATTATGTCAGCAAATGAACACATTAGGCACAGGTTGACTTACATTAACGTCATGTTGAACTACCACAAAAGATGTCGCACTGTTTGCTCCATCTTTGACCTCCTTTTTCCATGAATGGACAATTGAGCCGACACCATTGACGGTAACACCAGGTGCCCGTCCCCCTCCCTGGTCCACATCACCAGTGGTCTCCACATCTGCTAGTTCAAAGCTCAGAACAGATGTGTCGTCCATTTTGGTAATTTTTCCGCTGTAACTTTGAGGGCCTCCACGGGAGAGTACAAATTTCTCGTGATATGCACATGTGACATTAATGGTGGTTTTGCCCGGGCCAGTAGTCCATTTTCCTGAAGTATACACCAAACTCTTCATGACCTCTAAAGGCCCTTGATTGGGCCAGGCTTGCAAGAAAGGCTGCTCAAATCAGTTTAAACAATCCAAAATGTAGAATTTTAGGCTGACTTACACCCATTTCACCTTTGAATTTCCCATTGAAGCATAGATAATCCCGCCTTGGTGTTGATTGCTGGCCTCAAACAGTATGGAGTGAACCAGTTTGAAATATCATGATTGATCTCAAATATAATTGTAGCTACTTTTGGATCTTTTTTTGTGGGAGGTCATCAGAAGAGGAGGTCTTCTTTTATGAACCGAAAAACCCTGGCTATGTGTGAGCCTGGGTCTCTATAGTGACTGCAGGACACAAGATATGGGGGGGCACTTTTATATGTATTTCTTGAGAGAAAGAGAATACAATAAAAGTAGGAGAAAGGGAAAAGAAGACTGAGAGAAAGAGGTAATATTTTTGTTCTTTATTTATTCTAAGAAGAAGAATTAAGTTTGAGTGGTCTTACTTTCCTCTAAGGATGGCTGGTTATAAGCGGAGCTAACTCTGACGCCTCCAAATCAACAGAAACTGAAATGGGATATTGAACTGATGAATCAGATCAATCGACAATTTTTTAGATCTAAGATCAAGGCTCTTTAAAGGGAAACCTATGTAGTTTTTCAGTTATACTACCAAACAGGAAGGATTGAGATAATAGCAGCTATGGCTTGCTTTCTTGGATCGGGGCTTTGGTTTAGAGTAGAGAAAAGTTGAGAGAGACAGAGAGAAGAAAAAAGCAGAAAGATGCTAGCTAAAACTTATGAGAAGTTACTTAATAATGACACCAATGACACTGAGTAGTGGGAAAGGTGGGAAAAGTTGAGTGCTTCTGGTTGATAAGTGATGGCTTGATCAGGTTCTGGGTGTTGGTGTTCTGTGATGGTCTGGAGTCTGAAAATCCTCTGGAAGCGGAATCAACAAGCTCAGGGAGGATTTTCAAAGTTGGATTATGTAATCTGGCCTGTACATGTTGTAGAGAGGACTGAAACCTAAAAGTTGGAATAATTCTTGGAGTACTGTGAATTATTACAAAGTCAATGAAGGAATGGAGTAAAGTAAAAGTGATCAGTGGTGACCAGGGTTAATTTTAAACCAGGAATCCATTACTGAAGTCAGAAAGGTAAAAATTCTTAAGACAAAAAAGATAAGATAATGTTTGGAATAGAAATGGGCAGTTTTGGCAGTCTCTAAGGCTGACACTATGGCCCCTTGCTATACCTCTCCCATCCGTTTCAGAAAGCAATCCAGGGAAAACATGATGCTCCCCATAGACCCTGTCGTCGCCCCAAACTCACCATGCCAATGCTCATGTCCCTTCGGAAATAAGAGTAAGGACTCCACGACGGGCTACTGCAGGTTGCCTTTACTCAGCCGCTGAGGATGATGTGTGAGTTATAATGCTGCAGGACAGTGTCTGCTACACCAGAATCAGCCAGGTCATTGTGTGTCGGTGAACTGATCTGTATTACTTGCCCAGGAACTACAAACCCTTGTATTCAAAACCAAGCCAGTCCCATCCCAAGTGGTCTCAAGTTAATTATGTGTAGTATTCAAATTATTGATTACTCTGATCTGTATTTCAACCAGTAAATTAGAAGGAAACTTCACAACCTTTCCTGAATGATAACCGTAACAGAACTAATTTTGGAGCAAAGTTTGCTTGTTCTTATCAACTAATTGCCTAGTGTCACCTTTTGAAGAGTACACTGCCCACATGCAATTGAAAACAAGCATCATGTGAGTACAACCATTCATGGAAAAATTCAAGACACCCAACTTACACTTCATGTTGAAATTCTGTAATCCACAGTGTTCTAAATATCAGCACATCAGGCATGGACTTGGTAGCCTAGTTGGTAAAGGCAGCACTTCTAGTATAGTGTCTTAGCTTCAAGCTAAGGTCGCTGGTTCAAATCCTGCCCAAGTCAATCATTTTATGCTAACTGTCTGCAAAATGCATTGTTAATTTCAACACGATTAACAGTTGAAATGTGCTATGCGCATACTATGCATTTACATGAGATTATGCAATATGCACTTATGCAATATGCAACTTTGGGAAATATAAAATCCTACTTCTTGGGAATATGCAAAATGTTATTATACAATATGCAAAATCCGCTTATGCAATATGCATTATCCATGTATAGACTAGCTTAGAAATGGTTGAAATTAGGGTCTCCTGTTCTCCCACTGTGGATTAAGGAGGTGTGTTGAAATTCTGTAATCCACAGTGTTCTAAATATCAGCACATCAGGCATGGACTTGGTAGCCTAGTTGGTAAAGGCAGCACTTCTAGTATAGTGTCTTAGCTTCAAGCTAAGGTCGCTGGTTCAAATCCTGCCCAAGTCAATCATTTTATGCTAACTGTCTGCAAAATGCATTGTTAATTTCAACACTTCAATCGGGCCATAAGAACCCAATGACCACCAATGTATGTGTTCTTCTTGTTTGTGTAAGAATTCCTGAGGTATATCAGGCCTGACCTTATTGCATTGCAAGTACTTGCCAACTTTGTTGGTATCTGCAATGACATAGCCATCCTGGTGAACCGTGGTGACTTGTTGGCAGGAAGAGTACAATGCTTAACCCTGTTGGCTGCCCAGATTAGAGATGGGCGGGGATAATCCGTTGCAGATATCCGCTATCCGCTGGCGTATACCCGCCAGTGCCAGGGGATATCCGCGGGCGGGTGCGGATTCGGGTGCGGATGCCCCCTTTTCCGTGAAATCCCGGCAGATATCCGGGTATCCCCAAGGATACCCAAGGCCGGAAAGAGGAGATGGCCGGCTGGAAGGGTTTCCTTCCAGCCGGCAAGGTACATGTACCTCGCCGGCCGCAAGGATTTCCTTCCAGTCGGCGAGGTACATGTACCTTGCTGATTGGAAGGGCTTCCTTCCAGTCAGCAAGGATCGCCGGCTGGAAGTTAATCTTCTTGAGGCCGTTCCTAGCGTTGAGGCACTTGTCCCTCGCAGAATAGAAGTGAGTCCTACAGTTCAGCAAGGAACGTGTCCATTGTGCCCTTGGCCGAAACCCTTCCAGCACTGACTCTGCATCAGATGTAAGTCGCTACTCTAAGCTATATGAACCAACCTTCTGGGTAGCGTAAAAATGTAAGGGGATGCCCCGATACTCTACCCCCCCCTGATAGCGGGGATTTATCCTCTGGAGCCGTATAAAAAAACCCGGGGGGCGGTCATCCCTAGAAAACAGATGATGTGACCCGTTTGGGCAATAGTGTGCCCAAATAGGTCTTGTCCAGGGGTGACACAGACTCAAAATCCACTTGGTTTTTACGAATCTGCTACAAATTTTGTGCACCATCCTTCTCTTCTGCAACCAGCTCCACCAATCCCCTCCAAAAATCAACCTCGCACGTCTGATTCTTAGATCCTCTTGTCCCAATCAACATGGCGCCAGAACCTTCTGAGTCCAACGTCAACACCTGTGAGAATGAGACATCTGATGTCAATGCTGGCTACGCAACAGATCAATCACAGAATCAGCTCCGCCATTCAACTCGTGCATCTTCAGCAGTCTTGCCGCCAAACATGGTGGCACCCTCCTCAGACTTGTGAGTGAGAGTCGATCGCCCAGGCGGCGGCCCTCCAAAACGATGTGCAGCAGTACTTTCATCAGATGTTGAATCAGTTCAGTCAACTGCATCGGCAATGGCACAATCCAGGCCATCCAAGAAGAAGTCTCGTACACAAGTCTATCCTGGGACTGAAAAGAGCGACAAAGCTAGACCCAAGCCCAAGAAGTCAAAACGTGCAAGCGCGGCATCTGAGGTGTGTAGCCATTGGCATTTAATTCTCTACAGGTGTGATTTTTGAATTTTATGAGTATATGACTGATTGATTTTTGGCATGTTGTTGTCTAGTCCCATTCAAAGGGTGCCAGTGAGTCTGCATATGACTATGATCAGGACAGTGGAGATGAAGACGTTGAAATTCAGCCGCGTGATGTCAAGACAAGTTCAACTAAGGCGGCAAAGGAGGCGGAAACAGCTGAGCTTCTTCAATACTTTTAGACACCCTTCTGGAAGAAAGGTGATGCACCCGGCACTGCCCTCAACTACAAGTGCCGGTGGTGTCAAAGAGTATATCGTCGACAAAAACTCTCGCACGGGAATTTAAAGACCCACCGAGATGGATCAACACAAGATGACAAGTCTGATAAGGGTTGTACTGGCCGTAATAAGGCCAAGAAGGCCGGTTTTGTTTTACCCCTCTCTATAGCTGAACGCCGGGCTCTTGAGGCAAACAATGGAGGCAAGGCCACCCAGCAAGGAATCAAAGGATTCCTTGAGTATAAGCCGGCCTTTGTCAACAGGGTCTTGAATCAACTTGTGATGATCTGGCAGATCCGTCAGGCCTTGCCATGGAGCCGCATTGAGGATCCTTTTCTTCGGGCTGCATTTCAATACAGGAACAGCAAGGCGCAACTCTACGGGCGGCGATGGTCCGCTGATGAATCCAAGAAACTCTATGATATGCTCAAAAGTCATGTTTTTCATGAGTTGAATGTGAGTTTTCTTATTTATTCATGTGCTTACGAGTGTTGTTGAACCTGCTTTTGTGCAAAACAGAACCTCAACACTCAGTTCACCCTCATACATGATGTATGGACGACGAAGGGAAACCGCTTTGCCTTCATTGGTGCTGCTGTAGCTTTTATCAACAACGAATGGGAGTACACCGTCCGCCACTTGACTCTCAAGATGATCCCATGGAAGCACGCTGGGCATCTGTTGGCGCGTCCCATTGCAAAACTCCTGAAGAAAAATCAACTTTACAAAAAGATCAGTTGATTTATATTAGTTCTATTCATTCATCCCTCATCCCAATGCAAGTTCTGACATAAATACATGTATGTTATCTATTTACATGCTCGCGCAGACCACAGATTCCGGTTCCAACAACAAGACAATGGCGAGTGCCATGTACAGCTTGCTTCTAGGTGACAGCACAAATACAACTGGTGGTTCTAGTTCAAACTGGGACCCAACAAGCATGCACATACAATGCTTTTGCCACAAGTTGGCTCTCATTGTCAATGCTGGCCTTGCTGCGCTTGCACTCAAGACCCTCCCACCGTCAAAAGCCAAAGACTCTGTCTTAGGTTTCTCCCCAGTACTCGGCCGGCTGATTGAGGATGACGACGTTGAGGATGGAGGGCCGTCTCAGCCTGTACCTGGGGCTGCAGTCGTGGCTGATACAGCTGTTGTGTCAGGTATAAACGTAGATTCTGACAGTGATTACGGGAATGCGGATGACAAAGGCTCTGATTGTGATGCACGTGACCCAAAAGATTCCCAGCAAGATGACTCAGATGGCGATGAAGCTGGTGGCACCCTTTCCAAAGAGACTCTAAGCTCAACCAACCCCAGAACTGCTGCTCGGAGCAAGCATTCAAAGACCTCCAGACTACTTGAGCTGACGACTAAGGTATGTTCTTTTCCCATTGCGTTTTTCGCGGGTCTGCCTGGCCCTAACTGATGATTTTCTTCAGCTTGATGTGGTGATCAAACAGATCACCCGTTCAGCTGCCCAGAGGGCAAACTTTGATTGGGTGGCTTGCGAACTCAAGGTCAAAGTACCCCCCTTAATTGCCGGCTACGGGATTCGCTGGAATATCAAGTACCAGAGTCACAAGAAAGCGATTGAAGCTCGTGAGGTGATAGATCAAATACTCAAAGAGGACCAACAGGAAGATGGCGCTGGGGACTTTGGGGAAGCTTATTTCTCTCCGCGGGATTGGAAGGAGATTGATAATCTCAATCGTGAACTTGAGGTGAGCAGTTTCTACATTACTGGACTTGTGCTATCTTAGCTGAATGAGAGGCCAACACTTCACAGGTTTTTGTCAAGATGACCGCCAACATGGAAGGCAACTCGGCAACGGGAACTCATGTTATTCCAAAATATCTGGAACTCAAAGAGGACCTTGCGGCAAAAATATCGGCCTCAAAGGAAGCTTAGTTGCTCTATCCAATGTACCATGCTATGCTGAAGCGGGTAGAAAGGTACCTTGATGAAGTGTTACAATGTGAAACTCTTGTCATGGCCACTATCATGCACCCGTGCTACCGGGTCCATCTGTTTGAGCTAGCCTACGGTGAAGCTTTGAAGTCACTGAGGCCATGGACCTGCTCAAGCGACACTTTGACTTTGCCAAGCTTTCTAAGAACATCCCGGAAATCAATCTGGACGCTGACGTAGTTGAAATAAGCAAGCCTTCCAGCTCAGCAATCCCGCCCAGCTCAATCTGAGGCCGGTTAAAATCACGCATGACTCAACAACCAACAGTGCCGGAAGACGAGATTGAGGCCTATTTGAAGGAGGATATACCCTTCAGCCCCGACGATCTTGATCATAAGACCACACCTTTAACTTGGTGGAAGGTGCAGTTCATTTTGCCAGATATACTACTGCTACATACCGCTGAACTGAGCATATTGATTGTTTTCCTTCAGGCCAATCAAAAGACATATCCAACTCTGGCAATCTTGGCTTGTCGGTACCTTGGTGCATCTGGAAGCTCCTGCTCAGTCAAAAGACTTTTTTCTGCTGCTTCAGATGTCTGTAGCAGCAACCGAGGCAGGCTGCTTCCCGAGACAATGGATCACTCCGTCTCCAGCCTCATGTGGCTTTGCGAAGACACCCCACTGACGGGGGACTTCTTAGAAGCTGGCAATGCTTTGAAGGCATTATTGCCTTCAAAGAAATCCATGAAGTAGATAATTATTGTACGCAGTGTAGAAAAACATGGCCATTTGATCCAGTGGCGTAGAAAAATAAAATAAAAAAACCTCCCAACCAACTGTAGCGTAACTCACCAGCGCTACGCGTAAAGTAGCCGTAGCGAGGCAATTGCCGCTACTTTACCCTTACGCTACCGCTACGCGTAGTGTAGGGACCCACTGTTGCTTGCCGCCAATTTAAAGGGCGGGTATCCGCGCGGATACCCACCAAAACCAGGGGATA